TGGACACGGGCGCTATGAATCATTTGACGGGCGAGATGGGCAAACTCTCAGTTCAGGAGCCATACCGTGGTAATGATCAGGTTCACACCGCCAGTGGAGCAGGTATGCACATATCACATGTTGGTCAGGCCTCTCTTTTAACTCATAAACAGAAATCTCTCCATCTTCGTAATGTCCTTAGAGTTCCTTCTGCTACTCGTAGCCTATTGTCTGTTCCTCAGCTTACTCGTGATAACAATGTTTTCACTGAGTTTCATCCTTTTTATTTTTTTATCAAGGATCGGGCCACGAGGGACGTTCTGCTTAGAGGTCGCCTGCGCGATGGATTATATGCACTTGATCTGCCTTCTGCCCCTCGAGCACTCACTGGTGTCTATGTGTCGCCTACTCATTGGCATGCACGGCTCGGCCATCCTGCCACTCCCATAGTTTGTAGTGTTCTTCATCGTCATAGTCTTCCCGTTGTGTCCAATAAAGATGTTGCCACAGTCTGTGATGCCTGTCAACAAGGCAAGAGTCATCAGCTTTCGTTTTCTGATTCGAGTCGTGTCGTCAAAACTCCACTTGAGCTTATTTATTCTGATGTATGGGGGCATGCCCAAACTTCTGTGAGCGGTCATAATTATTATGTCAGTTTTATTAATGCTTATAGTCGGTTCACTTGGCTTTATCTTATCAACCGTAAATCCGATGTGTTTGATGTGTTCCTGCAATTTCAAGCTCATGTTGAGCGTCTTCTTAAGCATAAGATTATTCATGTTCAGTCAGATTGGGGGGTGAATATCACAACCTCAATTCCTTTTTTAATAAGCTTGGGATTTCGCATCGCGTGTCTTGTCCTCATACACATCAGCAGAATGGCACGGCTGAACGTAAGCATCGTCACATTGTCGAAACCGGTCTCACCTTACTTGCTCATGCATCAGCACCTTTTCGTTTTTGGAGTGATGCTTTTTCTAGTGCCTGTTTTCTCATAAATAGGCTTCCTACACATCTCCTTGGGCTGAAAACACCACTTGAACTATTGCTTAATGAGGTTCCAGATTATACTTTTCTCAAAGTTTTTGGTTGTGCATGCTGGCCTCATCTTCGTCCTTATAATAAGCGCAAGCTCGAGTTTCGGTCCAAACTTTGTGTATTTCTTGGGTATAGCTCTCTTCACAAAGGGTACAAGTGTCTTCATATTTCATCCAACCGTGTCTACATCTCGTGTGATGTTGTGTTTGACGAGAGTGTATTCCCGTTCTCTTCTTTGTCCATAACTCCCACACCTCCAGCCTCCTCCTTGCAATCCACCCCTCCACTGCCTGCTCAATTTGTTGATATTGCATATTCTCCTGCGTTGTTGCCTAATCATGCTGCAGGAACGGGTCGTGGAGTTCGCCTGGAGTTGCTGGAGGAGCCGGAGCCATCAACTGCACCCGACGTGGCGAATGGCCTTGTGCATGCGCCATGCATGCCTGGACTGGGCGCCTCAGCGTCGGCTCCGTCCGTGCCGGCCTCTTCTGAGGCTGGGTCGGTTCCGCCTGGGCCGGCCTTGCCCGGGCTGGTCTCCCCTACGCCGGCCTCCCCCGAGCCGGTGATTCCATCTGGGCCGGCCTCCCCCGAGCTGGTGCTCCCATCTGGGCCGGCCTCTCCTGAGCCGGCGAGCTCGCCTGGGCTGGGCTGCCGCGCCTCGGTTGGCCTTGAGCCGACTGACTCGCCCATCCAGTCGAGTCTGTCGCCCGGGTCGGCCTCGCCTGGGTCGGCCTCGTCCTCGCCTGTCGCCACTGCATCGTCACCGGCTGCGTCGAATACTTCTTCCTCGCCGGGGCCGTTGCCACTGGTTGCACCACCTACGGCCGTTCCTCTTCGACCACATACTCGCAGTCGATCCGGTATTGTGCGTCCCAAGCAACGCAAAGATGGGACGGTCGCCTGGCTTGCGGCATGTGTTGCTCATGTCAAGGAAGATCCTTCGGCTGAACCGCGTCACTTCCAGGTTGCTCTCGGGATTCCTCATTGGCGTCAAGCTATGGAGCAAGAGTATCAGGCATTGTTGACAAATGGTACTTGGCAGCTTGTTCCTCCGGTCTCTGGTGTCAATGTCATTGATTCCAAGTGGGTCTTCAAGGTTAAGAAGCATGCCGATGGTTCTATTGAACGCTATAAGGCACGGTTAGTGGCGAAAGGGTTCAAGCAAAGGTATGGTCTTGACTATGAGGATACGTTCAGTCCGGTGATCAAACCAACAACTATTCGACTTCTGTTGTCCTTGGCTGTTACTCGGGGCTGGTTTCTTCGTCAGCTGGATGTTCAGAATGCCTTTCTTCATGGTGTTCTGGATGAGGAGGTTTATATGCGTCAGCCCCCTGGTTTTGTTGATCCTGCTCGTCCTCATCATCTGTGTCGCCTGGTCAAGGCGCTCTATGGGTTGAAGCAGGCTCCTCGTGCTTGGCATGCCAGATTGGGCTCTGTTCTTCGGTCACTTGGTTTTGTCCCCTCTACTGCTGACACCTCGCTCTTCCTTCTGCATCGACCTCAGGTGACGATGTATCTTCGGGTATATGTTGATGACATTATCCTCATTAGCTCCTCGGATGCTGCTGCTGACCGTCTGATATCTTCCTTGAGTGGAGATTTTGCGGTGAAGGATTTAGGAACGTTGCATTACTTCCTTGGGCTGGAAGTTTCACGTTCTTCTGCTGGCTTGACACTCACACAGCATAAGTATTCGATGGATCTGTTGCGACGGGCAGGTATTCTTAAATGCAAACATGTCATGACTCCTATGTCTGCTACTGATCGTTTGTCTGCGTTTGATGGAGATCCTCTCACCTCTGATGACGCCACTGAGTATCGTAGTGTTGTTGGTGGCCTGCAGTACTTAACTATCACTCGGCCAGATATCTCATATGCAGTCAATCGTGTTTGCCAATTTCTTCATGCTCCTCGGACTTCTCATTGGACAGCGGTGAAGCGGATTCTTCGTTATGTTTGCTTTACTGCCTCATATGGTTTGCTTCTTCAGCCAGCACCGTCTCCTACGCTTTCTGCTTTTTCAGATGCTGACTGGGCTGGTAATCCAGATGACAGGCGATCCACGGGGGGACATGCTGTCTTCTTTGGTCCTAACTTGATCGCCTGGGCTGCTCGCAAACAAGCTACAGTGTCCAGGAGTAGCACTGAAGCAGAATATAAAGCCGTTGCAAATGCTACAGCTGAGATCATATGGGTACAATCCTTATTGAGAGAGTTGGGAGTTCCTCAAACTCAGCCGCCTGTCCTTTGGTGTGATAACATTGGAGTTACATATCTCTCATCTAATCCAGTGTTTCATGCTCGGACAAAGCACATAGAAGTTGACTATCATTTTGTACGGGAACGTGTTGCACAGAAGCTACTCCACATCAAGTTCATCTCCTCCAAAGATCAACTTGCTGACATCTTCACGAAGCCTCTTCCACAACCTTAGTTTGTAGGCTGCAGGCACAATCTTAACATACTTTGTACTTCAGGGCATAGTTAAGATTGAGGGAGGGTGTTAGACTGTATTTACATATAGCTTCTGTATATGTCTTGTATATTGTATCGTACACCTTGGTGTACCCCTTATATATATGAGATAGCCACACCCTTAACGGGTGTCGTGCAGTTTCCCAAAACCCTAAGTCTTACACGTGGCAATCGCTTCGCGTAGAGAGGGCGCGGGACAGATTTTTGGATGTGTCCAGAGAGTTGGATGCATACTTGACATCGGTCCGAACGCACGCAAAGCCCTCTGGTTTACGTCCGGTTTGCAGGCTTTCGAACATCCAGACTGATCCGCAGACCGCTGGGTACCACATTTGATGACAAAGTGCGTCGGACAGCTACCTCTAAACGTATGCGGGCAGTCCGTGTTGGAGATGAGAGAAAAATAAAACTTAGTCTCCAAACGGGCACACTCAACCTTGTTCACGGCATCAGTGTTACCCGGAGATGGACTCATCATGACCTTTGCAGGCATCAAGGAGCGAAGTAAGCTATGTTCGCTGCTGCTTTGAGAGTAGTGATGCTCCTAAAGACTCGAGTGAGATGAAGCTGCTGCCTTTGCCCTACTAGCTACACCCCTCAGTTTGGACTTTGTAATCAAGCGACTTTACTTAGTAGAGACGTCGCAAAGTTGGCTTTAGCAGCTGCTAAAGGCAACGCCGTGTGCGGGTGAAGGTTCCGTCTATATTCAACTCGAGGAAAGTTATGCACCTCACACTTATCACATCTTCTAGAGTTGTGACCTGATCGTGTTCCGTTTCAGCTTTGCCTACTTTAAACTTGTGGACCAAACAATCAAACATAAAAAAATGATGTAGGAGCACTTTATTTGTAGGATAAGACATAAAAAAAATGATGTAGGAGCACTTTATTTGTAGGATAAGACATTACTGACTACACTGCTGCCCCTGATTGATGAAGAGTCTTCTCTTTTTTCTAATAATATAAAAGGAAGGAAAGAAAAGCATTACAAAATATACTTCCTCCGTTCCTAAATATTTGTGTCTCTAAAGATTTCAACAAGTGACTACATACGAAGCAAAATGAGTGAAACTACACTTTAAAACATGTCTATATACATCCGTATGTGGTAGTCCATTTGAAATCTTAAAAAGACAAATATTTAGGAACGGAGGGAGTAGCTTCTTATGGAGTTATGCTCTAAATATTCAATTTTCGCAACAACAAATATTCAAGTCATAATTAAAGACCGTAGCTTGCTGCACCATTGCTTACGGGAACAGGATCACAGTAGCTTCGGTTCAAAGCAAATGAGTACCGGCCGGGCTGTATTCTAGCAGTATATACATACATCACAGGAGACATACTGCGTTCTGCCACCCAGGCCTTGCTTCAACAAAGTTCTAAAACAAACATATCAAATGGAGCTAAATACAGCTAGTAGCTTGTTACCACATGCAGTCAGAAACTAAAATGATACAAAAGCACCTAGATTTCAACAACACGTCAAGGGGTCAGCACATGCATCAGTTTATGTTTCCCCAGATAGCTTGCCCAGACGTCACCTTGTTGCTCGGTCTCGCAGTCAGCTCGTACAGAATCCGAGCAAACGTGTCGGAGTATTTCCCTTCCGACGTTAGGATCTCAGCAAAGTTATTCTCGTGAACCAGGAGGTGCATCCTGTTTTGAGGCTCCGAGACAAGGCTCTCCAGTATCACCGCTGCTTTCCTACAGACCTCCGACACAGGGTGTGGTGCCTTCACGATCTTTAGAAGCCTATCCACAGCCCTGTTCCAATGGACATTGAAACAACAAATCAAAATTTGTGTCACAGTGTGCTATCACTGACCAAATGAGACAGATTTTACCATCGCTCACTAGCCAGCTTCAGCCTACAATCCATGTTCACTTCTGATACGTTGTAGAGGGCGCTAACAGCAGCAGCCTGTGCATCAAATGCTGGCACGCTCAACAGATCAACTAACCTCCTGTATATCTGTATATCAAGTAAATAGCTTTATTTAAAATCATCCATCTATATAGCATAATAAAATACTCCCTCCGTCCGAAAATACTTGTCGAAGAATTGATAAAAATGAATTTATTTAGAACTAAAATACGTCTAGATACATTCATTTTTTCGACAAGTATTTCAGGACGGAGGGAGTAGTAAACAGAGGACTCTGTCTGCTAAACCAAGGATTTACCTGTGAAATCACAGGAACAAGAAACGATTCATTGTCTGGATTGATTATCAGCCGCCCAATCAATTCAGCAGCAGCACAATGCCATGCTTTTATTGAAGAGGAAAGCATGCCCATTATGGCATGAACTGCGCTTTTCTCACTGTCTTGCAGAAAGCCAAGGAAAACAATAAGGAACAACATAAAACAGAAAGATTGAGAAAAACACTCGTGATGAACTTCTATCTCACGTCATTTTAATATATGATGGCTTTGACGAGCTCAAGATTCTCAGGTCCAGCACAGGTGCTAAATTAACAAGGGCCTCCAGCATGTTTGTTATGAGCTCATCGTCTTCTGTCAGATGGTGGAAATGCACACAAAGATAAGTTCTCAAGTCTTAGCAATACATAGTCCTAGCCCCTAGGACAACTCATCTATCCACTAAGGAGATTCAATCCAATTAGTATATGAAGAAACAAATGGCAACTTCGTGACATTTCTATTTTGCTCTATAAACCCCAACACAAAAATCAAATAGGTGACATTAATAATAAATATTTGGATGAAAGCATCTGCAGCTCAAATGAAGCATACATAGGCGTCATTTGCAGTAACATAATCAACACACAAGAAAATTGGCACTGATATATCCAGTCATATTTTAAAATCACATACTCAGTCAAGGACAAATTAATTTGTACATGTAGAATAGAGGAACTGAATAAAAGGAACATAGCATAGATGTCTGGGAATTAAAAACCAAGGACAACAACCTAGTATGAAATTTTACCTGCATTTTGGTCTTCTAAGCACTGAAATATAGTCCCCAAGCAATGTCTATGCTGGACCATGATAGTCTCATTTTCTGGCATGAAAGAAAAATTGCGGATTATATTGGAGGCCGCAACAGCACACTGTTGCCTCTCTGTCCGCCCTTCATCATCAATATTAAAAAGACCATCTTCATCAAACAAAAATCCTGCAGATCTCCTCTTTGTGATAGTGGAGCCCTCTATCTTTGATTGATCATTTGGAGGACTGAAATTACCATATTTCAAAGAATATAAGTATGTTGCGCGAATCATGAAAAGCGAGATGGGTACTCAAGATATTGATGAGATCAAAAATGACATACGTGGTGCTGTCCGAGTATACTTTCCCAACGTTTTCAAGACCAAATCCTGAGATTGTTGTATTGACACCCAAAGTTCTTACTCTTGGTGGTTTTGTATGGTCCCTAGGCATTGCAATATCTCGCCAGTCATCAATCTGTACAAGATGACAGAGCGTCAAACAGAATGCAAGGAAATACCAATGGTACAGCCCTGTAAAAGCATTACCCCTTTTCGTGGAAAACTGGAAATCAATATAAACACATAACTTAGCAGACTGTAGAACTCAGTCATGTGCAAAATCCTTAGAGCATCTCCAACAGATGATGTAGATGTATAAATAACAGAAATATACATCACCAAGACCCAAAAAGGTCCCTCCAACAGATGATGCAGATGCAAAAAAAATTACATCTGATGTAAAATGCATCAGCAAGGGATGCAAATATACATCACTTAGGGGCAGATTTTACATCAAGATGTAAAACGCAGCCGCGCCGCGCGAAGCCCAAGTGCCACTGGAATCTTCATTCCCCCCTCCCACCACGCGAACGCCCTGCCTCCCGCTGCACCACGCCGCCGAGCCACCCACCCACCGGGCCACGCCGCACCCTGCCGCCAGATCCGGCCTCCCCACCCCCGTCGCCGCCGGATCCGCCGCCACTTTTCCGTCGCCCCACGCCTCGAAATCACCGGAATTGAAGCAGCTCCGCCACCGCCACACCGCCCCCGATTTGAAGCATCTCCGTCCCCGCCGGTGCCCGCACAACCTCCGCCTCCATCTTCCGGTCTTCTCCCTGCGACTCCGCCGCTTCCCCGCCGCCGCACGCCTCTTCTTCGACCGAATCGAAGTCGCTCGGCCGCCGCCGCGCCATCGCACGATTTGGAGAATCTCCATCACCGCCACCGCCGCAACGCTCAGCCTCCATGATGTAGTAGTTCAACTAGTTTTACATCATCTGTTGGAGCACTAGTTTTACATCATCTATTATACATCATCTGTTGGAGTTGGGTGTTTTTTGGTGATGTAAAACCCACTTTTTGGTGATGTAAATTTTACATCTAACACTTTTTGGTGATGTATTTTACATCATCTGCTGGAGAAGCTCTTAGAAGTCAAATTAGATATAAAAACTTTGGCAAACTTTGGCAACCAATCGACAAATGGTATGTGTAAATAACAAAACATATCTTTAGAATTTTTCTATACAGCTACAACAATGACGCCAAATCCTAGATTTTGCATGAGAACATCACACTTTTTCCCAATGTTGATGAAGGATGACTAACTAAATTAATTATTTTAAATATAGTTTGATTAATTATATTCAACAAATTATGCTAGATTAGTTAATTATTTTAAATGAACAATAATGCAAACAAATTAAGCAGTGAATGCCAAAGGAATTGGGAACCTGGAGAACTAAGCATACAATGCATGATCCGGTAACAGCTAGATCAAGCTGGAGAGGAAGAACAGGAACTAAGCACCTACAACTTGAAGGAGGGCATCCAATAGCCCAGGAACTTTAGCAAGAGGTGTTGTATCCCGTCGGAGGTCATCCTTTTCCTTAAAAGAGAGTACAGTGAGGGCGTTCAATGCCCATAGTATCTCACTCTTCAACCCACTTTGCAATGCAAGGACGATTCTTTTATTGTTCTGATCTGAAAAATCCACAACAAAAAGAAGTTAACTTGCCTTCTGCCAAATAGTCATGCAGGTAACCATTAAGCATACTAGAAAAGACAGATAAGGCATTTCAAGCTCATGTCACCGAAGTGAGGCATCATCTGTATCAAATGGGACAAAAAATTACTAACAGGCCAACAACCTGCTTGTCTGAGTAAACTGGAACAACAAGGGCTGTCTGCATTTGTGACAAGGGAGAACAGACAGCTGGTCGCAGAGAATATATATATGGCAACATATCTCGTGAATCCATGCCTATTGTGTATCCCTGTGTCTATGCAATGTCAGCGTCTCACTCTAAATTGTGCGCCTGACCTGAAGCCAAATGGTTTTTTCCATTTAGCCGCCCGCTTTCCCACTTGACAATAATTTCTTTTACAAAAGACCCCCTTAAGTCTCTCATCCACGATCCTCAGCCGAGTCCCTACGTCGCTTCGTCCTCTTGCAAAATCCCTAGCACCGTTGCTCCAAAATCTAAATCCCAGCCGGAAGGCCTCCTGCGACGGCAACCTTGGCCTACCCGACTCCATTGAAGTCCTCTAGCGACGGCAACCAAGTAGCGACGATGACCGCCACCCGACGGCCATTGGCGATGGCAAGGAAGATCCAGACGGCCGTCGCAACGGTGAAGCCATGGCGAATTGACGACGTTTCGGCGACGCTGACGACTCGTCTCAGATGAGGCGCCAGCACCCCCTGCACAGCCTCCTGCGACTACGAAAATTCCCTCATAGAAAGTTGTAGGCTGAAGTCTGTCGTCCTTAGGAAGCTGTAGACTGTAGGTCTGTAGCAGATGTATTACAGTATTAGTGCAATGCTCATATTACTGTAATTCCTTCGAAGAAGTTGTACCATTTATCCTGTAGCAGATGTATCAGTGCAATGCTTATAGCCTGTAGCATGTCTCCCCTGTTACTTTGCTTGGCATTTGGCAAAATATATTCTTTTTTATTGGCAAAAAAAATCAGTGAGGTTCAGTTATGCGTTGAAAATATAAGTGACTTCATGTGGTGAAAACATGTTTTGTTCGGTAAACCTTCTGACTTACAGAAAGTACCATGTGACAGCATTGTCCAGTTTTGAGATATGCAACTAAATGGTGCTCCCTGATGCCAAATTTGCCAAGCAAAAAATGATTATATATATGTTCTGATTTACTCTTTGATATACAGGAACCATGTAATGGATGGCAATCTGCATTATGTTAAATCATATTTGACTTGATTTATAACAAGTCCGATGATTATCAAATTATTACATTATATGAACATCAATCGGTGTCGCATTATGTTAAATAAATTCTTTGCTCAGACCTGCATCATGCTGGAGCACACAATGCAGTTTATCAATTTACTTGTTATACATGACCAATCAAGAACAATAGTAAAAGTTCAGGAAACTCTGGATAGGACTTGTTTCTTATAGCCTTTTTTATCTTATAACTGGTTACAGCCATGGGGAGAGTGTTGTACCCCAGCATAAGCTGGTGGTTGCTGACTTCCGCTTTCGGATTCGTGTCCAGCGGGATAAGCGTGCCAAGGTCGCTAGAACGAAGTGGTGGAAGCTCAAGGGGGAGGTAGCTCAGGTGTTCAAGGAGAGGGTATTTAAGGAGGGCCCTTGGGAGGAAGGAGGGGATGCGGACAATGTGTGGATGAAGATGGCGACTTGCATTCGTAAGGTGGCCTCGGAGGAGTTTGGAGTGTCCAGGGGAAGGAGAAGCGAAGATAAGGATACCTGGTGGTGGAATGATGATGTCTAGAAGGCGCTTAAAGAGAAGAAAGATTGCTTCAGACGCCTATACCTGGATAGGAGTGCAGACAACATAGAGAAGTACAAGATGGCGAAGAAGGCCGCAAAGCGAGCTGTTGGTGAAGCAAGGGGTCGGGCATATGAGGACCTCTACCAACGGTTAGGCTCGAAGGAAGGTGAAAGGGACATCTATTAGATGGCTAAGATCCGGGAGAGGAAGACGAGGGATATTGGCCAAGTCAAATGCATCAAGGACGGAGCAGGCCAACTCTTGGTGAAGGACGAAGAGATTAAGCATAGATGGCGGGAGTACTTCGACAAGCTGTTCAATGGGGAGAATGAGAGTTCTACCATTGAACTGAATGACTCCTTTGATGAGACCAGCATGCGTTTTGTGCGGCGCATCCAGGAGTCTGAGGTGAAGGAGGCTTTAAAAAGGATGAAAGGAGGCAAGGCGATGGGCCCTGATTGTATCCCCATTGAGGTGTGGAAAGGTCTCGGGGACATAGCGATAGTATGGCTAACCAAGCTTTTCAACCTCATTTTTCGGGCAAACAAGATGCCAGAAGAATGGAGACGGAGTATATTAGTACCAATCTTCAAGAACAAGGGGGATGTTCAGAGTTGTACTAATTACCGTGGAATTAAGCTGATGAGCCATACAATGAAGCTATGGGAGAGAGTCATTGAGCACCGCTTAAGAAGAATGACAAGCGTGACCAAAAATCAGTTTGGTTTCATGCCTGGGAGGTCGACCATGGAAGCCATTTTCTTGGTACGACAACTTATGGAGAGATATAGGGAGCAAAAGGACTTGCATATGGTGTTCATTGACTTGGAGAAGGCCTATGATAAGATACCGCGGAATGTCATGTGGTGGGCCTTGGAGAAACACAAAGTCCCAGCAAAGTACATTACCCTCATCAAGGACATGTACAATAATGTTGTGACAAGTGTTCGAACAAGTGATGTCGACACCGATGACTTCCCGATTAAGATAGGACTTCATCAGGGGTCAGCTTTGAGCCCTTATCTTTTTGCATTGGTGATGGATGAGGTCACAAGGGGTATACAAGGAGATATCCCATGGTGTATGCTCTTTGCGGATGATGTGGTGCTAGTTGACGATAGTCGGACGGGGGTAAATAGGAAGTTAGAGTTATGGAGACAAACCTTGGAATCGAAAGGGTTTAGGCTTAGTAGAACTAAAACCGAGTACATGATGTGAGGTTTCAGTACTACTAGCTGTGAGGAGGAGGTTAGCCTTGATGGCCAGGTGGTACCTCGGAAGGACACCTTTCGGTATTTGGGGTCAATGTTGCAGGAGGATGGGGGTATTGATGAAGATGTGAACCATCGAATCAAAGCCGGATGGATGAAGTGGCACCAAGCTTCTGGCATTCTCTGTGACAAGAGAGTGCCACAAAAGCTAAAAGGCAAGTTCTACAGGACAGCGGTTCGACCCGCAATGTTGTATGGCGCGGAGTGTTGGCCGACTAAAAGGCGACATGTTCAACAGTTAGGTGTGGCGGAGATGCGTATGTTGAGATGGATGTGTGGCCACACGAGGAAGGATCGAGTCCGGAATGATGATATACGAGATAGAGTTGGGGTAGCACCAATTGAGGAGAAGCTTGTCCAACATCGTTTGAGATGGTTTGGGCATATTCAGCGCAGGCCTCCAGAAGCTCCAGTGCATAGCGGACGGCTAAAGCGTGCGGAGAATGTCAAGAGAGGGCGGGGTCGACCGATTTTGACATGGGAGGAGTCCGTTAAGAGAGACCTGAAGGATTGGAGTATCGACGAAGAGCTAGCTATGGACAGGGGTGCGTGGAAGCTTGCTATCCATGTGCCAGAGCCATGAGTTGGTTGCGAGATCTTATGGGTTTCACCTCTAGCCTACCCCAACTTGTTTGGGACTAAAGGCTTTGTTGTTGTTGTTGTTGTTGTAACTGGTTACAGCCATCCCTGGCCACTTCTGGAGTTCCGGTAATTCAGAAGATTTTCTAAATAAATCACTCATTTTGTTCAACACATACAGAGCCTAGTCACTGAACTTTGTGAATGCTCAGGATATTTTGGATAGTGACTTTCTGCTCATAGCTTAGATATCCTAGCCCACTTCTGCAACTCAAAGCATTACTGAACAGTATTGGCAACTGAACTAGTCAATGAATATTTTGGCAACAACAAATGGGATATTTTAACAAGGGAAAAGCTCAACCAAAGCCTCTAATCTGAACAAAGGCATATCATGTATTTGTAAGGAATTCAGAAAAGAAGAGAAACACGTAAAAGCATCTCACACGGTGCCATTCATTTAGGTGCAAATACTGATACAGTTTACTCATAAGAGCATAAATTTGGTACAGCTACAGGCTACAGCTTTCCTATGGACAAGAGGCTGCAGCTTTCCTATGATAGAATCATCGCCAGCGGGGGAGGTCAACCAGGGCGCCGTTGGTGCCTCATCGTTCAGCATCATCACGGCCGTAGACCGTCGTCGGTCGTCATGGCTTTGCCGTCGAGACGTTGTTGTCGCTACTTGTTTCCCGTCACCGGAGATAGTCGAGGAAATCATCCAGGCGTTGCCATTGTACGAGGCCTTTGGATTGAGATTTGATTTGGGAGCCGATGCGAGAGATCTGGCAAGGAAGAATTCGGGCCAGGAGTTGCAGGAAGCATGACTTGGAGCTTTGTTTGGGGATGATGGATTAGGGGGGTTTGTTCAAACGAAAAATTCCTGAAGTTAGAAAGCGGGCGGGTGAGTGCAAATATTCACTTTGCTGCACCTGAGGCGAAGGATCTAGATCGGGCAGCTTAGCGGATTCACAGGATATGTTGCCTACACACACACACACACACACACACACACACACACACACATACCGCGACGCAATTCCTCAACTACTCAGCCAAAATAAATCTTGTTTGATGACTGGGAAAACCACAACACATGTACATGCATTCACAGCCCATGCTCGAGTTCATTCACATTTTCTTGTGCAAGCACAAATAGAAACATGAAAATTAATCATCATGCAGGCTCAGTTTGTGGTTGCTATGATATGCTGTGTACTGCTAATTTCTTGGCTGTTGTGGAAAAAGAAGATATTAAAACATATATTACTCTGGATAAAATAAACGTAGATAGATCCTCTTATCCAATCATTGACCTCTCACATTTCAAACACACAATTACACAAGCGTACTCAACCCAACAGGATTATCATGATCCAACATAATGCGAAGCGAAGCCATGAAATATTGGCAGTAAACCACACTAAAGTATTGTATGCTGAAGAGATAGATGTGATTAAACATCACTAATGAACTTTTGCATTTGCAACAAACTATTTTACCATAACATGCAACTTTTCCCTAAGAACAAAACAAGTTTAGTGTATGATTTTGATCAATCTAAAAAAGCCTAGGTATCGATCATGGTCAGAGCAGCCTCAGCTCGGTCAGTATCCTATAGATAAGTCATTGTTCTGCTGAAGCCAGAATTACGTGTCCAAGAATTGGAACAGGGAAGATCTAATCTGAAAGTAATCTTGCTAGGTGCTTTGGTTTTTTAGCAGCACACAGCTTCGAAAAAGCATATGCTTGCGTACTCAAATATTGTCTATTAGGATCAAATTTGCTAGCAGCTTGGGAAGGCATATGATTTCCGACTGAAGCTATGGTTTGTGAGGTATGAGCCGGGATATGAAGGTTGCAGAAGAATGATGAGGTCTCTCGGTTTCAACAATAACTCTTGATCTTTAAGTTCTTTATCAAGCTGCTGATGGCAGTTTTAATAATTCCAACATTACACTTGACAATCACGAGATATGGTGATTCCCAACAAGACATAATTAACCGAGGCGAACCAGCACTCAGAGTCAAAGCGTCCCTCTGTTTTCCCATAACGTGGGCTCTGGTACGCAAATCTTAGATCCAAGGCTTAACACATGTGTTTCGTTTCAATAGTTGGCATGTAATTACTCGACAGTATTGCAGCAGCAGCTGAAATAGAGAGCTCCTGATTTCCCCCCAACAAGTCGACTCCAATTGGAGGGTCCAACACGTGGTTTGCCACCATTGATGTCCTAGAACCCACCGGATTCTCTGTTTGAAGGTTAAGAAGAAGCGAAGGAGACACTCACCGGAGAGAGCCGTGAGGACATGGAGGGAAGGTCCGACGAGGGCGGCCGGCGCCGCCGGGTCGCCGACGGCGGCCGCGGCGGCCGCGGCTGCAGCCCCGCTTCCGGTGGTGCTTCCGAACGGGCGACCGCGCTTGGCCGCGGCGGAACCGCCGCCTCCACCGGACTTGCCCGTCTGCTTCTGCATGGCTAGGGTTTTGGAGCTCTTCACTTAGCTCGGAGGTTCGGGCGTGGAGGTAGAAGGGGAGCAGGGTGCGTCGGCAGACAGGTAAAGTGTGGAAATAGAGTCCGTTTCACCCGTCGAATTGCGATCGATCGTGTAGAGTGTGTTGATTCAAGTTTTTTTTAACATAAATTCAGGTTGTTATTTTCTGAAAAAAAGAACATAAGTTCAAGTCAGGACAATGAAAAAGTAGATCTAGAAAAGAAAAGGAAAATGGTAACGAAATCATTACCAAACATATAGTCTCTGATATATACTCATGATCAGGTTTATAAGTCAATATCAAGTGATACCACCAGTTACATACTCCCATGATAACAACCTGAAAAGATTAAATTTAATAAACGGTACAAAAGCTCCATAAAAAGATTGTGAATGTTCATAACACATGTGTCTAAAACTCCTAAAAGAATCAGAGCGAAATTCAAAGTACATATAAAGAAAAGAAAAAGAAAATTTCAACATCAATAGTGTCAATAAGAACAAAAGCATGAATAGTATAAAAAAACTACACTATTCACATCTTGATTTGTCTTTTTTGTTTCTTGATGTGTACTTTGAATTTGGATCTGAAATATTTATAAAAAAAACTACACTGTTTGCATTTACAAAAAAAATATGATTTTTTGTACCGTTTGAAATTGATTGTCCTTTTTTTAAAAAATTGGGGACATGGGAGCATATTAGTGAAAGACTTCGACCATTAATTGATTAACAAAATATGATGTACATGCATATAATTTAGATCACTATTTTAGTGACCAAATCCTTTTTATATTTCTTTATAGAGGGAGTATGGGAGTATACATGTCGGTCTATTTCCAACTCAATAAAAAAGAACATGCCGGCTATTTTTTAGAGGGAAAATGTCCGATCTATTCATCTTTTAATCATGGCAATACAACGAATACTAAAAAAAATTGCATTCAGATTCGTAGACCACCTAGCGACGACTACAAGCACTGAAGCGAGCCGAAGGCGCGTCGCCGTCATTGCCTCTCCATCGTTGGAGTCGGGCACAACTTGTTGTAGTAGACAGTTGGGAAGTCGTCGTGCTAAGGCCCCGTAGGTCCAGTGCACCAGAGCAGCAACCGCCGCAGATGAAGAATAATGTAGATCAGAAGGATCCAACCCGAAGACACACGAACATAGACGAACAACGACAAGATCCGAACAAATTCACCAATGATAGATCTGCTGTGACGCCCGGATAATCAAGCTATAGTAATCCCCTGCAAATGATGCCAAGTCCTCATGTTACTGTTGCTGATCCTCATTTTATCCAAAACACAATTCAAATTCAAATTTAAATTAAATTCCAAAATTCAAATCTCTAAAACATGCAAAATAAAATGTTCAAAGTGTGGCAAATAATCCCTGGACATTTGTCATGTTGAAACCTACCTCTTTTGAAATCCCAAAATTCCCCTAGGAATTAATTTTTAGTCCAGCAGTAATTAAATTGGCCCTTTCAATTTCAAAAAAAAGGTTAGACAACTCCTTTTGACCTCAAACTTTTTGTGACTCCTATAAATATTGTGCTTGATTTATGTGACAAGTGTCATATCTAACAAAACTTATTTAGTTTTACAATTAATTATAAAACAGTAAAGAAAATAAGAAAAACCCCTAGCTCCCCCTGGGCCTCAGCCCATTCCACCCCAGCTAGCCAGCCCAACTGGCCACCAAACCCCCGGTCGCTCTCCCCTTCTCCCTGTTCATCTGTCTCAGGTCGCTACAGGGGCATGGCTGCCCCCGACCACCTCACCGGCGACGCCAGGAGAGGATAAGGCCTCCACCTCCCCCCGGCGCCTTGGCCCCCGCTCCCTCTCACCCCATTTGCCCCCTCTCGCTGAGCACCACCATGGGCTCACTCCGGTGAAGCCCGCAGCCACCGTCCACCCTTTGCCTCGCCGACGAGTCCAGGAGCACCGTAGCGTCGTCCTCATCGTCTATGTCGAGCCACACGGCGCCGGACGGCCCCGTGACGCCACCCCAACCTCGACTTCCTCCTCGGGCTCGGCGGCCACCACGTCGATCTGCGCCACCTCGAGCTCCTCCGGCTTCCTCGGGCCTTCTCTGCAACGCCGGTGAGCTTCGGCTCCTTTCTCTCTCTCTGTTGGCGCCTTCCTCCATGTTCGTAGTCGTATTCGCCGTTGTTACCGTACCTGCCACCGCGGTCGAGCTCGGTTGCCATGGCCGAAGCTACGCATCTGTGTGCGCGCGCCCGCCCGTGGGTGGCTGCGGCCCTGCTCCGCCGTCGCGGCCCTACGTCGGCCGCCCGACACTCACACCCGCGCGCACCCCCCCTTCCCTGGCCGCTGCCCCCCTCCCGCTCGCCTTGGCTAGCCACCACTACCGCGGCTCCCGCCGGGCCGTAGTCAAGCGTCGCTGCCACCACACCCGTCGCTCGCACGCCGCCCCTTGCCCGCCGTCATCGGGGTCGCGTCCGCCGCCGCCCGGACCCGCTTCCCCCGCCCTGACCTCGCCGCGGCCGGGCATAGCTCTGGCCGGCTGGCCTCGCCCCGCCCTGGGCAAGCTACGGCCTCGAACACGGGCGCCCGCACCCGCTCGCCCAGCGCCCGATTAAGCCTTATGGGCCACTGCCATAGTGGGCCCGCCCCTGTAAAACAAAAAAAGATTTAAAAATAATAAATAATAATATTTAAATTAAGCTAATTAGATTAATTAGTTTAATCTAAGCCCCCGAATGACAGGTGGGCCCAGTGCCTAATTAGCTAATTAGATTAGTTAAAAACTGTTAAACAACCCACTCTCAATGACAAGTGGGTCCCCGGCGTCAGCTTGACCAGTTACCTGGCTGGTTGACTGCTGACATCAGGATGATGTCATGCTGGTGCAGTATTATCTTTTTAGTTAATAATAATTTCAAAATATTGTTAAAACATTAGAAATTCATAGAATTTAATCCGTAACTCGGATGAAAAAGTTTTCTACATGAAAGTTGCTCAGAACGACTAGACAAATCTGAATGCGCGGTCCGTTCGCCCGCCACACGTCCCTAGCATAGCAAACGTTGAACTTTTCCCCTCCCATTCATCTGTCTGACAGACGTCCGGAACCGGGAAAACTTTTCTAGATGTTTTCCCCCTTCGCCAGTATCGCCTAGCATCGCGTTCGAACACTTTTAGCCCCGCTTATTGTCTTGTTATGCATATGTTTGCGTGTATTTACTGTTTCTTCTCCCTCTTCTCTCCGGTAGACCCTGAGACCGATGCTGATGCCACTATGATCGACTACGTCACCGACGACCCTCCTTCTTGTCTGAGCAACCAGGCAAGCTCCCCCTTTGATCATCCCGATATCGCCCATTCTATTCTCTCATGCTTGCATTAAATTTTGCTACTGTAATTGATTGCTCCTATTCTAATGCATAGCCTGCTTTTGTACCTGCTGTTGTACCTTACCTGCTTATCCTAAACTCCTTTGTATAGGTTGGCTAGTGATCCATCAGTGACCCTCACCTTGTCCTTGTTGCCCCTGCTTCATCATCGACGACTCGATCAACGTGATCGACGGCCAGAGCCCGACACCTCACATCACATCACACCCCCTATTTGTTGCTTGACTCTGTAGAGTTACCATCGAGTGCCGAGGGTGGAACCTCATACATCACTCCTGATGAGATCTCTGTAGTGTAGCTATTCGGTCGTGGTCAACGAGGGTGGTTCCTCCTTCACCATTCCCGATACAGCTCTGTTGTGCAACACCTCAAGTGTGAACCTCGAGGGTGGTTCCTCTTACGTTCACCTTGATGATTACATCGAGTGGAATCCTTCGAGGGTGATTCCTTGGGTTTTCCCCTTGATGTTTGGACACACGGTTACCTTGACTTTACTTGAGACCTTGGTGAAAGTCGGGCGGGCCTAGAGAGCACCCGCAAGATAATGTCGTGGCACGGCCGGGCATTCTGGGCCCTTGTCGTAAGTCCACGAGACGGGGCAACAGGGTCACTTCGATCATGAGTCTCCGTTCGTCTCCGCAAGCTAATAATACACTACGGTTTGGGTATTTGTACTGAGTTGGCCTTTGGCCTTTACGCACCAACCACCACGCAAGAATAGTTATGGGCCTCGGCGTCGTGGTAACAGCCGAAGCTTTGTCAGGCGTCCAGTTTAGGAGTGCGGCACAGCTGGGCCGGCACCATCCTGTAGTGGTGGAGCCTGGACCCGCCCTGCGCGCAACGACCCGGAGTGCAACAGGTGATGGGCCTAGACCCCGGAGTGCTTAGGAGGTACACCGACGGGGACCTCTCTGCTGAGCCTAGGTAGGGCTGCGACGTGTTGATCTTCCGAGGCCGGGCATTGACCCCAGAAAGGTGTGTCCGGCTAGAGTGATCGAGCATGTTGGAAAACGTGGTGCACCCCTGCAGGGAAGATTATCTATTAATAGTCGTGTCCACGGTAACGGACGTTCAGACTTATATCCTACTAGAAGAACGCCCATGCGTTGCAACGGGCCACATTAACTTTAAGAGTTTAATATTACGACATTGGCAATCATTTTTACCATCAAATCCTCTCACACACACACTCTCCCCCTCCCTCTTCCTCACTCTCTCTTCCTCTCTCTCTCTCTCTCTAACACACACACACACACATAGCCTATTCTCCCCGCCAATAAGACTTGCTCAATTGGCAATAATGTGTGAACTTGTGGTGAGCTTGACTGAACTAATGGATAGTGTGATATATTCCGCAATCATTTAACAATGAAATTTCAGAAATGGGAAGATTATGTAACACCTCAAGTCATTAGCTACAGTGACCTCCCCTTAATGATGCCATGTCACCAGGCTTGATAAGTCAAACTGTCACTTGATAAAATCAAAGCCCAATTCAAATTTAAAATAAAGTCAAATAAATTATTTCGTCAAACAGTAAAACTAAAATGTTCACCATATTCTATAAATTCCACTGATCTTTGACATGTTGAGCCCAACA